AGACAGACCGAAAGCTCAAGGATGGAGGAGTGATGAGCCTGTGAGTCCACTGGGCCTCAAACTTACAGATTTTTTTCTTTTCTGTCTTTTTTTCTTGGAATGCTAGAAATTGAACCCAGGGCCTCATGCATGCTAGGAAAGTGCTCTCTCCCACTGAGGTACAGCCCCAGCCCCCAATTTTTCTTCTAGACTTTACTAATGTCACCCACATTCATTGACTATATTCCTTAAGGCAGATGTAGGGCTGAGGGAGAATTAGGGATTAGTTTACATTTTACTACACAGACTCACAGAATTCTCATGACCCTAGTATTCAATGTATAAAAACCTGGATTACTAGGTCATTGTTAAATGAATGTTACAGGTGGCCAATTCAGATCTTTCAATTGTTATTAATTTGTCTTTTGAAAGACATTATGTAGGAAGGCAAATACTACCATGTATATTTAATGATGGAGATATGTTCTAGAAAAATGCATTGTTAGGTGATTTCTTCATTATGTAAATATTATAGTGTACTTACATGAACCTAGATGGTTTAGCCTACTACACACATAGCCTATTTCTAATTTTAAAATATCTTTTACTTTAAAATTTTATTTTACAAACTAAGACTCAAACATATGTGTTAAATTAGGCCTATATAGGGTCAGGATCATCAACTTGTCTTTCTTCCACCTCCACATCTTGTCCCATTGGAAGATCTTCGAGGAACAACACACCAGGAACTTCACCTCCTACAATAGCAGTGTCTTCTGAAATACCTCCCGAAGGTATTGGATGGCTGTTCTACAATTGAGATTTTAAAATAGGGTATAATACACAGTTGTTTATTATCATTATGAAGTATGATGTACTATACTTCTATATGTGAATAATACACTGTGGTATAATATTATGACAGTTATGATGTCATGGAGTAATAGGAATTTTCAGGTCTATTATAATCTTATGAGACCACCATTACATATACTGTGTGCTGTTAACTAAAATATATCATCATGCAATGCATGACTGTATCTTATAGAAAAAAATACACTCTTAAGCTGTCCATTTATTCAAATCGTCTCTCTGAAACATTACTCTGCCTACACCTTAATATCCAAACCAGCTACCAAACACTTTGGGTCAGTCTCTCTTCTGCTGTCACATACTGTAAATGTATGTGCCATTCTCAAATGATATTCATGATTAAAAAACTAAAATGAGATCAGTGAGATTGCAAGTCTCATAAAAGATGTAGTTCATAAAGCAATGAGTGTGATATTGGAGAACTGTTTGCATCACACACAAAGCACTACAGGCAGGAAGAAACCGCTAACAGCAGAGGAAGAGAAAACCAGCCAGACAGATTTGGCAGACATCAGAGGTGACTCATGCAACATCTCCTGATTTTTCTTGCTACCTCTGCTTGAGAGGCTGAAAAAAACTGAAATGACCTCTCTGTCTTGGCTGCAGCCAGCAGAAACTAGGATGTCCAGGTTCAAATCTGGCTTTGCCTCTACCAGCTTTGTGACCTTGAGCAACTCAGGTTACCTCAGTTTGCCGATCTGGAACATGTAACTGCCTTAGAGTTATACTGAGGATTAAATGGGTGACTTTATATAAAACCCTCAAAATGGTTCCTGGCACAAAGCACAGAAATTGTAACCAGGATCTAAAAGTTGGGTCACACAGGCACACACCTCTTGGGGTGGAGACAAGGAGACATGATTGACATCCCACAGACTGGAGGAGGGATGTTTCCTAGAGTGCACAGTGGATGCCAGGCCTGAACCTAGAGGTCCACAAGCTCAAAGGTATCCCGTCACCTGTGGCCCAATTACTAAAGTCCCAGCTCAAGGGAGACCTTGCAAGCCCTTCCAAGGCTGTCCAGAGCCAAATATGTGTTTTTCCTCCTGATATTCCCCTTACTTTTTTTTATGCTTAATGTTCTCAGCCCTTTATTCACAACCAATTGTAGGTAACACTCCTTTCCTTTCCATAATGTGAATCCATAACTACTTGGAATGCATAATCTTTCCAACACTCGCCTGGCTATACATCACCATCGCCAGGACAATTTAGCTCTATTTCAGCCATATTTGTTAAGTTGTCAGTATTTGACTTAGCACTCCGTACTTATCCTCCCTTTATATGTCTTCTTGGGAAGCCACTCCATGTCTCAGGCTTGCTGGTAGTGTTTCCTTAACAGGGTCTCAATATTCCTGTCCCCTCCATTAGACTCTTCAGAGAAGTAACCAGGCTTTTGTTCAGTGATGGACAGCCTGGCTGAATACCTATGGCCTATTTCTTGGCTATTCTTGATACCATGGCTGCCTAGTTTTCTTCTTGAACATGAAGATGAGTAATTACACTCAGGTATGGCAAAAGCAGTGCCCAAAAACTAACAGAAGTTCCCCTGAGCATAAAATTACAATTTCAAATGGAGGAAATGTTTTTCCAATCATTTCCTGCCTTTCTCAATTCTTTCCATTTCATCTAAAATTACGTCCTTAAAATTTTTTTTAAATCTGATTATAGAATCCATAAACTTAAAGTAGATTCCTAGTAACACAGGTTTATAAAGCTTCCATTTTGTGCAAATTCCCAATTTGAAGAGAACAGGCATGCAACTCATGCATAAAACTGGAAGAATATTATTTTATTAATAAGCAAGCTAAGTTAGTGTAGACATCTGGAAATAATCATGAGGACTATCTAGCAGAACATCTGGTGCTTCAAATAGTGGTGTTAGCAGCTCTGTAAAATGCATTCTCAAAAGCGGCATGAACAGGAAAGGTGCATCCGTGACTTGGAGAAGGGATTTTTTTCAGTTCTTTTGTTTGGTCATTGGTATATTTTCAATACTGTTCAATGTGTATAGCATAATTTAAAAATTTGAAATGTGGACAGTGAAGTTGATTAAAAGAAAGTTGATTAAAATAAAGTTGATTAAAGAATAGCAATTACTATCTCAGAAAGTAGAAAATCTTTTTCTCCATTGGAGATGACTCCTGAGCAAGGTCTAATTCAGGCTTTCACTATCTTGCATAGGAGCAAATGAGAAGTACCCAGATTTTTCTTCCTAGAAGCCACCTGGTGTCAGCTACTCTAAGATCTGACTTCATGCATATGCAAGTGGGCAGCCCCTTCCAAGTTTAAACTAGTTCTTCTACCCAAGTGCCCTATTACATGGCACTTATGAAAGAGATTCAAGCAGGGAGCTAAAGTGACCCTAATACCATTGAGTAGTAAAAACCCTTTCTCTAGAAATTGAGCTTCTAGATTCAAGAGTAATGTCCATGAAATTGTGAAGGAGCCAACACACCATTAACCACACCCTTCGCCCTTCTTTCCTTCCTCTCTGCCACTCCTAATAAGTGCAGGTATTACCTTGGCTTCAGTATTCCCACCTGACCCCAACATGGTGGTGTGAACTCTAGTATCTCACTGATACTTCGGCCCTTCAGAAAGCAAGAGAGCTGGTCAAGAAGAGTAGGCAGGGTTAGGGTTTCTCAAAGGCTCTCCTGGCTACCTGCATCCCCAGAGGGGATAGACTGAAACTTCCTGAATAACACCAGATCCAGGAGAGGACTGATTGTCCTAGTGGCACTAGGAGGAAAGCACTTTGGATTTAACATCTCATTTCTTAGGATTATGTCTTTCACTCTTTGTAGAAGCCACAGCCTTTTGTCATGAAGATCTGTGTAAGAGACATTGTCTAGACATTCTGTGGAGTCTGGCTTCAACCAAAACTGTATTATTTTTCAGATCCCATTCTTGGCAGTTACAAAGGCTTTAGATGGCAGACCTCATGGAAGAACTTCCCCCAGCCAGGCTCACTCTTATGCATTGTTCTGTTCTTGGTCCAGGTTCCTGCACTTGGAGATCTCCTCATTCAGAAACTGTACAATCACATTCTCCACATTCTCTCAGTATTCACCATTTTCCAATCTTGAGTCTTCTGCCTTATACCCCTTACTTACTTTATCCCACCTCTACTTCATCCATAAAACTTCAGGAGACTTTGAGGGGCTCCCTCCTCAGGAAGAGGACCCTCCACTGTCCATTTCTGATCCACCTGAGCCTCCATCAGTGCAATGTGCTTTACCATGGGGGAAAGAATGGTGGGCTTACTTTCTCTAGTTTAGCCTGTTCCTAGCACTATGGCAGTGTTACTTTCATTTGTGGCTTGTTGCTTTGTCTACTCAAGTACTGTAACATCTGGCAGATCAAACTCAGTTCTCTGCAACTCAGCTGAGCTAAAACTCTGGTCTGTAAAGACTTCCTCAAATGCAGAGGCCTTTGCTACCCCTTCCCTCCCATCAGTCTTACCCACACCTGTTCCTCTCTATTATGAGTATAAAGGTTCTTCACGATCCTTTGTTTTTCACTCCTCCCTCCCTTGAGGCAATCAGTGTGGCTCTCTCAGTGTCCAGATTACTTCTTGGCTTGCAGATTGAAATTTCATGTGACTAACTCTCTGTAGGTGGATACCAAGCTCCCTGCATTTAACCTGAGCAGAATCATGCCAGCATTGTCCTCCTAGTGGGAGGGTGTGTTACCCACAAGTGCCACCTGTGATGAACCACAGCAGAAGAGATGATGCATAGCTGGGAAGGCCCCGACTTTTTCCTGAGTTAGGGTGCCTCAGGCAAAACTTTGGGAAGAAAAAGGCTCTGTAGGTTGGCATCATGTGATTTGATTCAGCACTATGCAATTTGATTCAGCATTATGCAAGGCCACTTTACAGATGCAATTATAAATAACTCAAGTCTCTAAGTCCCCTTGTAAAGAAATATCCACTTCCCTGACAAGACTAAGTTCCTTAAGAACAAGGACCCTAGCTGTTTCACCTTTGTATCCCCAATGCTGAATATAACTTAATAAATATATGCTTGTTATAGGTCAGGCGAGTTGGAACTATAGAGATGCACCACACTCTGAGCCAAATTGAGTCCTTTATTATTGTCATAAGCCAGTGATTGAGAGTGGCTCATGCCAGTTGCAGGGTCCTTTTAAGTGACTCTTCTAATTGGGGAGAGCTCAGGGAGAGTGGTTGTGCAAGCAGAATTTCACAGGAGCAGAACTTTGTTAAGCTAGTGGGAGTTGGGCAAGTTTCACACAGTTTAATTGAAACAAAATATCACACAGGTAAGGAGCATCCTCTTTACAAGGTAGTAAAGATAACATAGTTGCAAACTTACACAGTTGCAGAGTATCCCGTTTACAGGGTTGTAAAGATAACATAGCTGCAGATTCAGCATCAGTCATGCATTAACTGAGGGGACTCCCAAGGGGAAAAAGGGAAGGCAGCCACCTAGAATCTCCTGACCTTATATGGGTTGTACTGACCGTATGAAGCAAGCTATAAAGACATGGTTTGGGCACATTGAAAAGGGGGCTCCTGGAATGTTGTTATATAGCAACAATTTTGCCTATGATTGTGTCTTTAAATTTGCTTAGTGCTATTAATTCTCCCCCTCCCTTTAGGTCAGTGTGAAGGCCCCAAGTTTAATCCCCCTTGTAAAAAAGAAAAAGTCAGATGGGTCCTTATAACTTCTCCATCTACTTCTAAAGTCACAAACTTCAACTCAAAGTTAGTATTTTAATATATCTAGTCCAGAATAAAATTCAAAACTCCAACTATGTTTTAAAGTTGAAATGTTGCCCACTAGGGCCAGCTGCCATCAAGAGACCCCAGTTTGAGGAAGAGGCTGGGCTGGTTTTCTTTGTTGCCTGTCCTACTGATTTCTGCTCTCTCCATCTTGCCTACGGTGGTTTCTGATCTCCCTAGGATCAGAGAGTCCCAGGAAAGTTCTCAATTGACTGTTTCTGTCATCTGCCAGCTCCAAGCTTTCTGGATCTGTCAGATGCTTAAAATACATGCTTCCTCATATGGCTATTTTGTGGATTCTTTAAAAGGCTCTGCTCCTCTCCATACAGCCCCCTAAAAACAAGAACATATATTATCCACTTGACAGCTGTCTTGCCCCAGGTATATTTCTCTATTCTTCTAGTACCCTGTGTAGGATATCAGTCTCTAGGAATCTAGTCAGAGCTGCATCTCTCAGCAGCTCTGTTTGTCCCCAAATAGATTTCTGGGGTAAGACCTAAGATGATACCAGCTCTCTCAAGCTGTGACCTATAATTGGTGTACAGGAAACATGTGTTCTTAGCCTGACAGTATGTTATTGCCATCTGGTCCAAATCTAGATCTCTTCCATTGCTCATAACTAAAGCTGAGGGCCAGCCTGCCCCTCAACATTTGCATTCACTTCTCAAGCTAGGGTTGACCAAAGAACACTGTGACACAGCTGTAGAATGCCCCAGCCCGCATCTAGCTCAACCAAGTTTGTCCTGACGCACCTTCACTGATCTTAGTATGGGACAAGTCTATACCCCGTGCCTGGAAGCAGATTCCCAATGCACTAACATTTTGCAAGTCCACTTCACCAACCCCTTCTGTGTCTTCTCTACTCCCTTCAGTCCTCTTTGTGCCCTGGTTCTGAATGAAGTGTTCAAGAGTCAATAGGTACTTTCCTCTGAATCTTTTAGAAGCTTGCATGTTGGAATTTGGTGTCTGTTTTATTTCTTGTACATCTGTGGCTTTCTACACATCCTAAAGAACTGAAGCGTAAGTGCTATCAACCTGAACATAAAACCAGTGTTCCTGTTTGGGGAACTGAGCACTGGAGGCATTGTCAGGACTGGATGCCCCAAATGACTCACAGATGTGTCCTACAGCTTCAAGGGTGCAGAAAGAGTCCCACAAACATGAAATTAAGCTCTTTGTAGATGAGGGATCAGAAAGATTTCCTGCTGGGAAGTCTCCAGTGGCCAAGGCTCAGTGAGAACAGTTGGAAGTGACAGGCCCTACCTGACAGCCTTCCATGGCCATAGTCACAGAAAACTTACCATCTGTTGATGTCTTTTCTCAACAGCTCTTGAAGTCTATATGGCTTAGAGTAAATGGAAGTAAGAAGTCCAAGATAAACTCCTCTCAGGAGGTAAAGCAGGGGTGAGAGTTGAAGGAGCTTATAGATAGCTGGAAACAGCTTTAGGAACATCACAGCAGGCACCAGTTTTTCCTCTGACTGCAGCAAAAGAAAGAGGAATGGCCCATATGTGGTTTTCCTAGATTCACAGTATGTATGGCATGCTGGCACAGATGGCCAACAGACTTGGTTGACATTTGTAGGCAAGGCACAGGCATTCAGGTGGCATCAGTGGTTTGGAACAATGCTAGGCAGTAAATCTCTGGTGGAACTTCATTTGGAAGATCGCTCTGTTAGGGGACAAAAAAAGACAAGGCAATTTAGAACCAGAACTGATAACCCTCCAAGCCACTGGGCAGTGGAAGTCATTACCACATAGGCCTTCTTGCTCTCTAACACTATGTATAATAGGTCATGATCCCACAGAAACCCACAGGAAGATCCAGGGCCAGCTTCCCTAGAATATCTTCCCCTCTTCCAGACTTTGGAGGTGGCTAGAACCATTGAGAAGGAAACCAGGAGGTTCTTCTTTTTGAAGTCTAGGGCCTAAAAAGTCTGCTCTTGGCTTCTTCCCCTCTATTCTACTAGTCTGAGATACCACCCAATTCGCCCTATCCAATGACCTCCCATGATCTTTTGATAAACTCTTTGACTTCATAGAATTCACCAAATTTCATCATATCTTCACTTTTCTAGGTGAAATTGCAACCCACGTGTTAAACCCCTTCTTTGCTCTGTTCAAAAGAGAAAGAATTCATCTGCTACTAATTCTGAGCCCAGAGACAGTTTCTTCCCAATATTAACAGATATTGTGGCTCAGAAGGGGGAAGTGGAGCAGGAAGGGCAGAGACTTCAGAGAAATTAGAATTTTAGAAAGCCAAAAACTAGTGGAAGTGAAGTTGCAGACTGAAGACCCAAGGGTCCAAAACATGTCGGGTATAGGACAAATGGTATGTGTTATGATTTGGATATGATATGTCCCCCATGGCTCATGTGTTGAAGGCTTGGTCCTCAATGCAGCAATGATCAAAAGGGGATTGGATTATGAGGGCTCTAACTTCATCAGTGGATTAGTCCATTGATGAATTCATGAATTGATGGCATTACTGGGAGGTGATAGAAACATTGGAAGTTAGGCCTATTTGAAGGATGTGGGTCAAAGTGGTCATGTCTTTTGGGACTACATCTTGTTCTTGTCCCTGACCTCTTCCTCTCTGGCTCTGTCTTCCTCTTCTTCTGTCTCTCGGCTGCCATGAAGTGAGCAGCTTTCCTCCACTATGTCCTCCTGCCATGATGTTTCAGCCTGGCCACAGGCCTAAAAGCCAAGGAGTCAGCTAATTATAGACTGAAACCTTTGAAAGTGTGAGTCAAAGAAAACCTTTTCACCTGTAAGCTGATTTCCTCGGGTATTTTGTCAGAGAGGCACAAAACTAACATAGCATAAGTGTCAGGTGGTTGCAGAGAAGCACTTAGAATTTGCAGTAGAAGTTGCCACCCAAGGCTTGGGTCTTGAAAGGCCTGGCTTCCCCACAGAGCAGGGCCAAGACAGTGGGTGAAACAGTTCTGACTCATGTATTCTCCCATAGCTGAATTCTGCAGCTCTGCTGAGATTCTGTATGTGGTGCACAGAGATATTTGGCTTAAGGATACTGAGTTCTTTGAATCACCCAGAGGCAAGAACAGAACAGTGGGAACACATGAGGTTCCAACAAGCAGTGCAGAGAAGAAACTTTCACCTGTCTGATTGGGAAGGAACTAGGAGGACTTTATCCAAAGGAGGGTCTTAGAGAATTTTATGTCTGAGACAAATGCTTATAAAAAGACATCAGTTTGTTATTAAGAGAAACCATATTTATTTTTTCTTTTGCCATAACACAAGCCTCCCTTAAAAGCCATAGGGTGGCAATTGATAATGCAAATCTATAGGAATTTAATTTCAGATTAAAATTCAAGTTTACCAATATTTATACTAAGGTTTTACCGTCCTGATATTTTCCCAGTCAAAATTGCAACTTTTCTACTTCAGATTATGGTGTATTTTTGACATCTTCCAAAAGTCTCCATGTGTTTGAAATCTAGTAATTATCCCTTAGAGAGCTCATTTCTTAGCATGTCCTTCATAAACCTAAGCCACTTACTTGGAAGAAAAGGGGAACTCTGAAATTAAATTTTCCTTTTTAAGGTCTGTAATTGATAATAAACTAATCACAAGGGCTGAACAACTAATTCATTCTGAATGTAAATATTCTTCACTCCTAGGGTGTGTGTGTGTGTGTGTGTGTGTTCATCTTGTGAGACCTGGCATTTCTTGGGGTTTCAATTGCAAATATAGAGCACTTTGAAGTTTGTGTTTGGAATTCTCCACAGGGAAATTTTTTCAGGCAATTGAACTCCTTTTATTCAAATAAAATATGAATATAGTATCCTTTAATGGGGTTTATATTCAATTAGTCAACAAATGGAAGAAAAAGAGTCTATCAGTGAATACATTCTAGATAACAGAATTAAGCTAATTTACCTCAACTTGATATTATTGTTTTCCTTCTAGGCCATAGCATACATTCTAGAAAATTCTAAAGATTCCTTTAATCTTCACAGTTCTTTCCAATTTTGTCTGCACCTGAAAACAGATACCCCTGTATTACCAAATTAGATTATTCTTTCTTAAATTGTAGAAGACCTTAATGTAAGCAGTTTATCATTTATCTTAACCTACGGCCACTAGATTATACCTTTATGCATCTTCAGAGCTCTGTCATCAAGGGCCAGTTTCTTGGTCAAAGTGACATAGAACAGTCTCCATAGGCTGTGATAACAGAATATCATAGATTGGGTGACTTACAAACAACATATATTTACTACTCTCAATTCTAGAGGTTGACAAGTATAAGACCAAGGTGCCTCCAGGTTCAATGTCTGATCAGGTAGTTTCTTATTCATACATGCTATCTTCTTGCTGTGTCCTCACATGATGTTCTCTCTGGAATGGTTTTTATTAGGGCACTAATCCCATTCATAAGGGTTTCACCATATGATCTAACACCCTCTCAAAGGCTCATCTCCAAATACCAACACATTGAAGATTTTAACATATGAATTTTGAGGCTGGGCATTAATGGTCTAGAGTTATAATGGAAGGGCTGGAGATTTAGCTCAGTGGTTCTGCCACCTGCCTCACAAGCGCAAGGTCCTGAGTTCGATTCCCAGTACAAAAAAAAAAAGGATACAGTTATCATGGTCACAAGAGGCTGAAGTCCAAAGGCACATTCTCATTTATTTATTAATTTCCAGTGAGAACTGCTAGGTGAGTCAGATGGCAGCCTGTTATTTTTCAAAGGTGGGAGGCCAGTTTAGCTGGCAGTTATCTGGTCAGTGTGGCATCAGCACAAGGGGCAAGTTTCTAAGAATGAAAGCCTTAGACTCTGCAGATTTTGATGGCCTGCTAAACCATCTGTGCAATAATCACCCCTGTCCCATACACTAGCTGGGCACTCCATTTTTGGATGGTGCTGGAGACCCTGCAGTTAGGTTCCAGTTTCCTGCCCAGTTTATGATGCAGGCCTGAGAAATAAAACTAAAAGACAGAACTAGGACAGAAAGCAGGGTGCCAGGACGACCAATGCTGGTGCAACTGACAAAGGTGCTGGCCAACCCAAGCCACTGATTTTTATTAGTAATTATTTGGGGTAAAGGTAAGCTATGTGCAAGGGCAGGAATACATAAGAGGAAGTGCAATCGTGCAGCTTCTGTGGAAACTAATGTGAGCAAGACTCATAAAGGATAAGACAAAGCATCCTCAAATTAGGAACAAAATAGACAAAATATATGACTGTAATTAGAACATCGTCCTTCTAGTTAGAAGTTTTTAGCTGTGGGAACGGAATTTGGGTGTGAGTTACTCTGACCTCTGTACACAGGCCTCGGCCAGACTCACTTGTATAAATAAGCCAATTATGGGGTTAACTCTTCACAGCCTGCTTTGGGCACAATCAATATTATGGTTCCCTGAATCATGGCAACAGCAACATTTGCTTCAGGGGCTTTCTTTTCTCATCTCTATGGCTGACCAACCCTCTCTGAGTGATGCTCATTCTGTAGATAGTTTAGTATATTTAATCAGTTTCTAGCAGTTGGGCACCCTTTGAGGTATACTATGGCTAGGCTTTTATTTTATTTTAAGATTTAATGTCATAATAGCAGGACACAGTGGCACATACCTGTAATCCCATCTACTTGGGAGGCTGAGGCAGGAGGAACACAAGTTCCAGTCCAGCCTGGGCAACACAGCAAGACCATATATTCAAAGAAAAAAAAAAAATACAGTATCTTGCTATCTTGCCCAAGCAGGCCATAACCTCCTGGGTTCAATTGATTCTCCTGCCTGAGCCTCCCAGGAAGTTCCCTGGTTCATGATATAAGTAATTTTGCTCTATGCAATCCTTGTGATGCCTAGAACTTCCAAATTTAAGCAAAAATAAACATTTTCTCCCTACCCCCTTTTAAATTTTTCTTTTGATTGGGTTTTTGGGGTCTGGGAATGAAACCCAGGAACTCAGACTTGCTAAGCATTATACTACTAAACTGTACCCTCAACCCAATTTTTTCTTTTTATAAATTATCTCAGGTATTTACCTATAGTATTGGACACCTGACTAACAAGGTGAATTTGCATATCTGCTTTGGGCTCACATGACAATTTATTTCCCATTTTCCTGAGTGTGGCAGGAGAGTGGCACTCAGTTTATGGTTGCCCCCACTTAACACCTACATGTAACACCAAAGAGAAAAGGTGAAATATCTCTGGAGACCATGTGTTATCAGGAAGGCATATTATTCTGGAAAAGTGAGCCTTCAAGGTTAGATAAACACAACTTGATGGAGAGAAGACAGAAGTGATGTCAGATAACATTGGTGGCAGCAAGGGATAACAGGCAGGGGCCTCAGGTAATAGTGCTGATACCATTTGAGCGAAGGTAAGGAGATGGATATGCCTACCTTCTTATAGTTTGTAATGCTGAGACCCAATTTTTTTTTTCAAATGTATTTTTAGTACCTAACAATGTATGACACAATGAATGTGTTGCTCAATAAATATGATGAAAGATCAGAGACCAAAAAAACCAATTTATTAAGAGTATAGGATTAATCTTGAAATAGAATTGCATGTTGGGAAGCCCTGAATCAATGGAAATAATAATAGAGCAAGAATGAGAAGATTTAAATTGTGTGATCCAATGTGTGATTTGAAGCAAATAAATTAACCTCTTGTAGCTCAGTTTCCTTTTACATG